TTTGAGCTGTATTTGACATACAAAACATAACCATAGAAATGCATACTAAAATTGAGAACAAGCACACACAAACTTGAAATTGAAAAGGGCAGGTACACACACCCTAAAACACAGTAAATGAAAGAAAATGCAAACAGTGCAACATGAATGTGATTGAGGATGAATTTCACTTTCTCATGATCTGTCCAAAATATGGAAACTTACGCCAACAACTTATATCTGAATTTATTTTTCTATCACATGATGCACACAATACTTTCATTCGATTGCTCAGTGCAGATGATTGTGAAATTATAAAAAAGGTTTCACAGTTTATTTACAAAGCCTTTCAAGAAAGAATAGATAATTGATAGCTTTGAAATTATTATTATTAGTCTTAGTTTTATTATTATTAAACTTATTAGTATTAGTAAAAAAAAATTAACACATTATATTTTACTTTTATACTTAACATTATAATATTTTCCCTTTCTTTATTATTTCATTATTATTATACCTTGTTATACTTTTATTGCTACTGTACTGATGGAAATACTGTATTTCTAAAGATGCAATAAATAATTATTATTATTATTATTATTATTATCCTTACAGCCTGAATTGATTTCTGCCTACTGAAAATATACCGCCCTCTGTGCTGACATCGAGGTCACAACTCGGTGAGCCTTGCGCAACTGGTTCGTAACCAGTCTTGTGATTGGTTGTTGACAAAATGCTGAACATGCCACGCCCCCAACTGTGCCGTGCGTTCGGGCAAACCGTTAGGAATTCCTAAATGGAGTCAATTTGTGTAGTCTTCTTGATTTATTCTGCAGATATCGATAAAATGTAGGTAAAGCTTTGGCGAAATTTGAAGGAGCGACTAATATTCTTCAACCTGGTATTTTTTTTAGATTTTATTTTGCATTCTTTTCGTCTGTTTTTTTGAGTTTAAAAACTGTGAGCTGGCTAGAGCCTTCATCCCTTGTCTATTTCTTACACAAGATACCAGCTGATATCTCCCCCCCCCCGCTCATAGGGAGTGCGTACAGTTGCTCATAGTTCCTGGGCTCCCTGTGGTTCAAGGCTCAGTGCCACCCCTCTACACAGTGTTAGGTCTAGTGCCCCGCCCCTGGATATATCCTCATATAATTGACAGCCTAAGGGTAAAAACTATCACGACCCCAGATATTATATGTAACATGAAAACGACTGTCCAAATAATACTAGACTACGAACTGTTTTACACTTTGAACATTCTATTTAAATAGGGAGACTTAACTTTGGACATAATAGTGACATAAATGGTGTGGAAATCATACAAGTCTTACCGAGATTTTCGGTTCTATGTCATCTTGAGGTGAGTTCACTATATTGGCCATGTTCACTCGTTGTAAGTCTGGGTAAACTTGTTCACGGACTGACTGGATACAGTTCTAAGATACTCCCCTCGTGTGTAATTGGGCACGACAATAATTACGCCGAATTCAGAGCGAGATTCAGAAAAAGACAATTCTACGAAAATGCCTATTGATATTATAGTAGGCTCCAGGGTCGGTACTTCCGGCACAACAACTACGTCATCTTGACCGCTTTTCTCTGGGTCACTGACTGTTTAATTTATTAAGAATAAACGAAATGATCATATGAAATGGGCCAATTGCAAGTCACACAGTTGTATTATACTTCGTGGGCGTGTTATAAAATCCCGGACAACGATTGATTTTATGCACACGGGTCACGACGCTCTCTTATTGGATAAAACATATTGGCAACGGACTGTTGACACAAGCTTCCACCCTCTACTCAGCCAATCACATAGTAGATGACTCATACATTTAGCGAAATCACAGCACTTTCGTCGATATAATTAATTGCCTATGATGTCATCGTCAAACTTGTTAGACTCAATCAATAAATGAGTGCACTGTTTCTGTTGTATCAACGACCCCCTCGGGGGGGGGGTCTCTTTCCCAATTCAATATGTCAAGATTCGTAATGGGGGGGGATTGCCTAAATAGTTATACCAGAATGCGCTCGCATGGGACTGATTTACCTGCTTAAACTGTCTTTTAGATATAATCTGACGACAGCATAATACAATAACTGACATTTTACTTTTGTGTAGAATTGTATAGAAGAGATTTGGGTGGATAGAGATAACGGAGGCGAGATAACAGTGGCTTGAGGAAGTAACGAGGTTTATTACACTCACATAAAACAGCATCTGACAAGTACAAGGACTACTTCTCTATTTATAGGGGAATGGTGCATTCTTGAATTTAGGCGGGAAGAGGATATATTACATGTTTGTAATAGGTCAATAAGGAAGGAATCTGATTGGCTAAATTATATGCGTTGTGATAGGCCGAATCCTTTGTATGCAGAATCCAAAAGTTGCATTAAGCTCGAGTGCTTATAATGATTCCCGATATGCTCCGGGCCGCGAGATGAAACAATAAAAGGCTAAAAATACGAGTGTACGAATATAAAAGACAATAATTCGATAATTAGAAATTCGAAAATATACGAAATACGATAAAACAAAAAGAAAGATCACTAAATTCAAAAAGTTTCAAAGTTCAGTAGTATACGAGTTATATAGACCATTAAATACGAGCATGAAATCAACACACATTAAATAGTTCGGCATATTGTCATATAATAGTTCGATTCAAGAAACGAGTATAACAGTTCACATATCGTTCATGTCCTGAATGCGTAATCGGGCTATAGTCGCGGCTGTTCTGGGTGGACGGCGAGTAACAGTTTCATTAATTCCGGGTAGAACAGACTTCACAGCAGGAGATTTCTCGATAGATAGCATGGGCGCGTTGTTCTCACATGCTTCTAAGGGATATAGTTTCGTAATCGGTCTGTTTGTAAATCCACTGGTCGTCTTGAGTTCAGCAGAACGTACAAGTCCATCATTTCCGACATTCAATCCCTGAACGGTGGCTAAACGCCAATTTACACGACGAGCGATATCACTATGCATTAACACAACATCACCGACCTTAATTGTATTGTCCGTTGCACCAACCGTATTGTTGTGTCGTTCTCGCAAAGACATTCGCTAGTCCAACGTTTCCAAAATTGTTCTAGTAATTTACATATATGAGCGTAGCGTTTCTCGAGATCTAGTCGATTTCCAAATGTCGGGTCAGATAATTCATCGTCGTCCACGACGAAATGCGGAAGTGGCGTAACCAAGCGACCAATTAATAAATGTGACGGAGTGAGCGGGGTTGCGTCGTCAATGTCCGTAGACACATACGTCAGGGGACGGTCGTTTAGAGTAGATTCGATTTCAGTTATGATAGTATTGAGTTCGTCGGATGTTACGAATGAACGACCCAAGACTTTCTTTATAGCAGTTTTGGTGAGGCCAATCAAACGCTCCCAAAAACCCCCGAACCACGGTGCTCGTTTGGGTATGAATGACCATTGCACGCGTCTGTTCGTGAGATAGGTTTGAATTTCAGGGGAATCCAATAATCGTTTGATTTCATTAGCAGCAGACAGATATGTAGACGCGTTATCTGATATCATTTTCTTGGGGAGCGATCTTCGTGCCGCGAATCTGCGAAATGCGTCTAGAAATGACTTTGTGGACAAGTCCGGCACGAGTTCAAGGTGGACAGCACGAGTAACAGCGCATGTAAATAAACATACGTATGCCTTTGTTTCTCTGCCGTGAGGTTCTCTAACGTAAAGTGCGCCAGTAAAGTCAACTCCGGTAACCGCAAAGGGAGGGGTGACGTTAACTCTGAAAGACTGTAATGGCGCTGAAATCGGTGATTGGTATGGTTGTCCACACACACTTTCAGGCATATTACGCATTTCCGTAGTATTTTGCGCGCGATTTGTCGAATTTTGGTAATCCAGAACCGTTGTCTTATGTGCGTAATCGTAGCTTGTAGTCCCGCATGTTTCAGGTTAAGATGAGAGTTCACGATCATGAGTTGAGTAAATCGATGTTCACCTGGCAGTAGTATAGGAAATTTCGTAGAGAAATCATCCATTATCATCGACAAATAGTTTGAGT